GAAAGATGAGTACTTTAGCTTAGCCATACGCTCAAGTTACTTTTTGCAGCATTGACATTCTTCATAGCAACTTAACAACCTTATAGTCCGCTTCATCTAATAAACCAACAAAAACACCAGTCTAAAAGTTATTTAAGCAAAAAGCACGTTTCAAGAGGGATGCAATTGGTGTATTTTGTTTATGCTGCTAAACAATAGAACTCAAGCTCAGTTCTCCTGAACCTTTTTCTGCTTATACAACTCCCGAAATCCATTATCATTCATTAAGCTTGCCCTGTGGGTTGCTTCCAATTCAACATCCTTCCTGTTATACACAATCCACAGTTTTCAACAAGTTCTAGGTCTGCTTAGCCTGGTGTAGAGACTCTTATGACTTCTTTGGATACACTCTCTATAAAATTGCAGAACACTCATAACTTCATAGCTGCTACCAAGATGTATTTGTTGGTAATACAGACACATTTTTTCCCCCGTCACTTTTATACTGTATATTTGTTACTTACATTTTTCTAGGTCTGTACACAAGGTGTAAGAACGAATCTTTAGCCTCATGAAAATTTTATTAACCTTCATATTTTCCGAGAACACTCTTACCAAGGATTTAGTCCTTGGCATTACATAGAGTTCTTAATCTTACATAGAGTTCTTAATCTTACATAGAGTTCTTAATCTTAATCAAAATCTCAAATATATTTTTTTCTACAATTCTTTAACTTACTTACCTATAAAATAAACCAGAACATAAAAATGCATAATCCAGTTGTGTCTTGAACTTAATTTCTATAACTAAAAATAGAAGTCAGCTTTCTGCCATCATGAAATTTTATTCCAAGCTATCAGTGTACCAGATACAGTGTACTTGCCCCTGCAACATTCCAACTGCATTTGTTTTGTCCTCAACCTGCAGCTGCTTTACCCAAATAACTGACATACACTGGCTTACAGGTTCTCAAAATCATCTCATTTGTCTCCAGTAAGCATTCCGAATGCACCAAAAACAATCATAAACCCAGTATAAATAGTGCTCCATTTTTGTCTCAGCTTTCATTTCCTTCCCACAAATTTCATATCAACCAAGCATCCTAACTACCTCCTCTAATTTTGTCTTCTCTGAATACATTCAATTAGCGTAAGGCATTTTTCTTCGACTTTTACTTCCTGATCCAGATAAGAACTATAAACAACCCTGAGGGAACAACAGACTGCTCAATCCCTGCGTGAAAAAACAAACAAAAAAAAAGGCAAACCACACCTTGGCAAAGTTAATGACCCATTTATAGACACTTCCTGAAGAAAGGACTAAAACAGCTTTCACTGTAAGCAAGTGTTCTGGAAAATAAAGTTTCAGGAATACTGAATCATTTAAAAAAATTACTATAGATATCTACAGCTAGGCTAGAATCTTATTATACAAGTCTGGAACACATTTTAAAGTTGTTAAAAAAAAATAAAGACAGAATTCCATATGGAAATAATCTTATTTACAGATACACACACAGAGATGCAGTATATAGTTCATTTTATCCACAGGAACTACTGCCTCCTAAATACAGGTAGCTTCCCTTGCCCCCATAACTGAACTTCACTTACAACAGACTTTGGTGAAGTAACCTTTTCATACACTTCTGCTTAGATTCAATCTAAAATTGCACCTTACAGAAAAGGCTATCACAGAAAGAAAGGTTTTTAACAGCACCATACCAGAGCACAGGTACAACACTCTGTGCACACAACACAGGTACAACTTCTTTGCCTATTCACAGAACAGGAATAAGATACACACTGACAACAAGCTGCTATATGGAGCACCAGTGTCACCGACACATTATTTCCAGACAAACCAGCCTTAAAAAAAAAAACAAGGTTTGCCAAAACATTAGAAAGCAGCAGTTCATGGCCTTGAATTATCCATAAACAAAGTGCCAGATAATGTCTAAAACTCAGTTCATTGATTTTCATTGTTGTTGTAGTCTTGGAAAGACAAGAGTAACTAGTTATCTAAGAAAGCATTCTTTTCAGAAGCAGCTTCCTTTTTACAAAATTTGCAATATAAATGTTTTATTATTCACACTGCTTCACCATCACTATAACCTTTCTTCCTCATGGTCCTGTCCGCACTGGCAATGCCGTTTTCAAAAGTCCTTATACGCCCCAATGACGCACTAGCGCTTTGATCAGGTTCCCTCCTTTTAAGGTCCAAGTCTTCTACAAAACACCTCAGGACAAACCAGTCGCTTTACAGTCAAAGCCACAAATGGCTTAACAGAGCAAGACAGGACAAGTAAAGCAGTAAAAGCAGGGATTTCTGAAGGTCAAGTTTTAGACAAAGGTATCTAACTCATGGAAGCAGGGTCCAGATGTCACCAATCGAGGGCCGAACACCACAGGAACAGTCGGCTTTCCTCTATTTTCTCTTCCAGTGACACAAGCAAGCAGGCTGGAGCCTGCGGCTGGGAGCAGAGGAGGAAAACGCAGACGAGAAGGCAGCAGGACCTTCCCATTGCAGTGACGGCGACTGGACTGGCTGAGCTGCCCACAGAGCCACAACCTCACCACAATTAAGGCCGGTGTGAGGTGGCTACTAATGCTTTTCCCCAAAGATCTCACAGTACCTGAAATACTATTAGCCCTTCTACTCCAGTAAGACATGGAGTAGCTACAACTTCATTTTCTGTACCAAACACCGGCAGAACCTGCTCCTAAACATGGCAATAAAAACGTGCAGTTCATTTATGAACGTACCTGGAGACACCTTCAGCTTTTTCTTCTGAAAACTGCAAAGCCCAGCATCAAGCGGGCAGTGCGACTTTGTGTCAGACAACCAGAGAGCCCCTTCTGAAGCCGGGAGCACTCTCCAAAACTGCCATTTTGGAAGCAGCAGGGAAGTCCTTGAAGAGCTGACTTTAGTTTAACCTCTACAACAGCTGGCATGGCTGGCTATATCCTGGATAGTTCACCCTTGTCTCGGAATAAGGCAAAAACGTTTCCATCCAGGTGCTACTACCGCAGGCACCCGCGGCACCGCCGCAAGCCGGGGCGGCCGCCTCCCGCCACCCCGACGAGTCACCAGCTGAGACAGCCGGAGAAGAGCAACCTCCTCCCGCCTCTGCCGCACACCC